AAAAAAAAACTCTAGCATGTCACAAATATTGTCAATCACAACCAACACAACGTGAGGTAAATGAACTGCACAAACAACATAATATATAAAAGATTATTTCAACCACTTCAAAATCAACAATAAACAAAACACTTCAATCACAACCAAAACCAAAATACTCCAGTCACAACCACAACCAAAACAGTGTCATCATCACCTCATCACCACCAACATAAAAAACAATACCACTATGTCACCACCAACAAAAAACAAAAGAGAGTCAATATTCAATCATGTTACAACCAAAATCATGTCATCACCACCAACATTCAAATACATACCAACATATCCAGGCAAATTGATGGCCAGTGAATGAGCCTATGCTGTGCTTTGCTGAGTGGAGGTTTGAGGGGCATTGAAGTTGACAACATCCTCAGAAGAATGCTCACGGAATCCCCAATTTATCGGCATTGACGTCATACGACAAATTCCCAATGTAAACCTTGGCTCCATCAGGTGGCTTCACATGGCCATCTTCATTCTCAGTCCCGACATGGTTTGAATTCCCCTGCGACTCTTGCCTTCCTTTTCTTCTTTATTCTCAAGAACAACTTTCGGCTTTTCTTTCTCCGCCGGTGCTTCTTTCTCCTCGTGAACCGCCAGGATGGTTTTTCCATGTTGAGAAGCTACAGCAGGAAACCTGTAAAGGGGTTTTTACTTTTGGTAAAGACTACGCCTTGCCCAGATAGCCGGAATTTTACGGGTGTGTAAAGGTTGGTGCATGGAAAAAGTAGAAATTGATGATGCGCCTGAATTTAAAACCGTTTTGATGTAGGGCAGCTTATAATTCTCAAAGAACGTATTTTTATTTCATCAAAGCCGATCCTCTTGAATCCAAGAGACATAAAATAAATAGAGTCCAACATTCTAAATCCTTATATTGCTAAATAAGAGAATAATTATTCTCCTAATTAAATAAAGCAAACAAATAAAATAGCATAAATAACTATGGTAGTGAAATAATTAATATCCTAAAGTTGAAGAGATATCGTATTTTTCTAGATACGCAAGCGCGATCTCGTCACCATCATCCTCCCTCGGTTGAGGAGAATTCACCCTCGAATCTGGATCGATCTTGTCTTCGTCCGAAGTCTCACCTAGATAAGGCACCAAATGCGTGACGTGGAACACGTCAGAAGTCCGAACATGTGACGGTAAACGAAGGCGATACATATGAGGATTGATCTTCTCCACGATCGCGACCAGACAAATCTTACGAACCGACAACTTGGTATAAACGCTAGCCGAAAAGGTGTTCGCCTGTAAGACCGCCCATACATAATCACCAACATCAAACTCATAAACTGGCATACGTGCTTCGTCAACCTCCATGTCGGATCCATAATTTCTAAAACAAACAAAATCAACCACAGTACTTCTCCCACTACTAGGACCAGCAAAATAATAATTATCCTTCATGTTGTCAACATGTAAATCCCTACGAATTGAACCAAAAGCAAACTCATTTGAATAAGCACACAGTGTTTTTAATACGATACCGTGTCGACCGGTAATATCGGATACCGACCATTAGTACGGTACAATTACACACAAAATATCAGATTTACTGTTATCCGGTTAGTACTAGGATCATACCGTAAATACCGGAAAATAGCGGCCAATAAAAAAATTTCAAAAAATTAAATTTATTAATTTAAAAAGATAAAATTTAAATTGGTTTAGAATATTTTATTTCTATCTTATTGAAAAGTTGAAATTAATGATTATGGTCATTTATTTTTTTACTTTTTTGCATTTGGCATTATATATTTTTATGTATATTTATATATATCATTATATTTGCTAGTTCGGTAATACTACCAATATTACAGGTCCGATCGGTAAAATCACGTATCGGTGGCTAGACCGATATGACCACCGGTACGGTATTTAAAATACTGTAAGCACCCCCACTATGCCAACAGTTCATAGCTTGTAGCCTTGTACACCGACAGGCTCAACCCTCATCTGTTGCCCAACAAAAGCACTGTAGCCATCAAACCCGCACAAATGTGACCGACAACCATTCACATTAGTTGACACACTATCCCGTGGGCCCATAAAGTAGCCTATGTAGGCATCCTCCACATGCATAGGAACCTCGAGATCTCTCGAAAAACGAACATGTTGTTCGAGAGCACCCGCGTAGGCCACGTCCTTGGATGCCTCGGCACGGAAAGAGTCCTTCTACGAGACCCGAGGGTATATATACGAACGACGAAGAACCAACGCATGACCGATATCTCTGTATAGCGTTCTTCAACCGGTTCGGGCTCTTTGTTAAAAGTTGTAGGTGCGTCATATAAAGGATGGTCGTCATGAGTCCCTGATATGTCGGTGAACAAGGCTCGAACCCCGCCGGGCCGGGGACAAGAAGATTGT